TTGCCGTGTAACGAGAGATTTTATGGAAAGAAAAATAATAATAAGCAAGCTGTCTTATCCCAATGCCACTCCCAAATGCAGCCCTTTTGGTGCCAATCTTTCTAATAGATTTTAAATCCAGCTCGTGCATGTCCACACAGTTGCAATGACTGCAGAAGGACTGTTCCAGTTGGGGGATTTTCCGAGCATCCTGCCTCTTCCCTCTTTTCCCTGTTTGTGATTTGCTTGCTCATTAGCACGAGTTTGAAAGCATGGAGAGATGGAATCAGCCAGTCAATTCTACTGCTTGTTAGTGGTGCTTGTCAAACGCTGGCTGGGTGGAAAGGTTGAAATCAATGGGGGAAGAGAGCTTCTGAGTTCAATGGATTTCATTTTCCCAAGTCACCCCTGCTCCCATTAGCATGCATCATTAAGAGTGGCTGCATTTGCTCCTATGTAATCAGATAATCTGTAGGGAAATGGAAGTTGGATTCCTATATGTCTCTATGTTAGATGCTTAGAAAGGAGCATCTGCAGATACTCTGCATTGCTTAATTTTGAGCAAACCACAAGTGGAAATGAGAAGCACTAATGAAGATATTTGTTAGTTCATTATGGGGAAAACTCAGTTATCAGGGAATTGAAAGCAGGCAATTTTCCTGGTCTCAGGGAAGAGCACAGGAGAAAGCAAAATGCATTTAGAATCTAACTAAAGAAACATTAAAAGCATAAATGAAGTATGAGATTCATTTACAGTCTATTCAATAACAGTTAATGTCAGGGATCCAAATTTCAGCCCCTCGCAGGAATCATGCGGAGACCGATGATGCCATACGTCAGAGAACTTGGTAAATTAGATGCTCTGCTGTGTGAAATCAGCTCTGCACCTGAGAAGCAGCCCGGGTTATTTTACACATACTGTCATCACACATGGGAGTCACGGGACCTGCGCTCTGTCCTCCGTGCCCAGGCATGGTGCCCTGAACACAGCGATCGTTCCCAGGCCTGCAGTCCCTCCTGGGAGGTGTGAGACTTGCTGCCCACTGGACTCAGCCCTTCACAATCCTGGCCTCAGGCGGATGCAATCCCTGTTCCTCCCGGGTACCTTATCAATCAGAGTAAAATGATTCTGAGTGTCCGTCCTGTGGATGCACCTTCAAGGCCCTCACACCACATGCATGGATGTGGCCTGCCCACCAGGCCCCTGGAACTCAGACCTTGTGTTGTTGATGGACAGCCCAGTTCAGAGAAAACTAGACACGAATTGAATATATGATGTTATGCAATTTGACTCAGAAAAGCATCCCCACATCATCTCATTTTCATCATCACACTGTGACACGATTCTCCTCCGTGAAGCCCGAAGGCAGAGCAGGGAGCGATTGAATTTTTGTGTCTTCCCCGGGCTCAGCATGGACCCTGATGGGGTGGATCAGAACACGCTGGTTGCAAGAATAAAGGAGACTTGCTGGTCTTGGTGCCCTTCTCAGCAACACAAGCTTACGTGTGACTTACGGAGTTTTCAAATAGGCTCCCGGGATAGGGACAAAGGCATTTAGAGGAACATGAAACCAAAATTGGCAGGGACAAATGTTTGGCCTGACGGTCCTGCCTCCCTTGCTCTGCGATTGCACAACTATTTCATTCGCAGGGGGCTCGTCCACGCCCATACACACCGTGCTTGAGACTCATCTTCCTCTTGAGTCCACACCTCCATGCGATACAAAGAAAAACACGCAGGACACCAATTCCTGGCATCTGACTTCTCGGGCATCAGTGAGATTTCTGCCTGTTTTAGTCCCAGGCGTGGACTACACACAGAGGATCCTTCTTCCTCCCCTGCGCCTCTCCAAGAAGGTATGGGACCCAACTGCACATGGCTTTGCATGGATTTGAGTCGGGGAGCGACTGCCCCTAGCTTTGCATGGATTTGAGTCGGGGCGCGACTGTCCGTGGCTTTGCATGGATGAGGACACCTGCCGCCAGCTCCCCTCCATTCCCGAAGAAGACAACACAGGACAAAGAGGTCGCCGGGTCGCTTAGGAGGCGGAAGCAGATGGCCAAGTCCACAGGCTCCCCTTCCTGGGCTGGGGTCCGCTGTGCACACCTCCAGTCCAGGACAGACGAGCCACACCACGGCCAAGACCAGCTGGAATCCACTGGGTGCCCAGAGAGCCACGGCCGCTTTACCCAGAACAGGGCACCTCGCATGCACCCCTCCAAATGCTCAGAGGCCCCCTGGGCAGGTGCAAGGCGGAGGCAGAGCACCGGCAGGACTGCGTGAGGACCCACAGGATCTTGGGCCCTCAAATGAGAAGATGTGAACAGGAAGCCTGTAACCCACACCCAAGTCAGCGAAAAGTGCGTGTGCCTGTGTGTGCGTGTGCGTGCGTGTGCGCGTGTGCGTGCGTGTGTGCGCCCGTGTGCGTGCGTGTGCGCGTGTGCGTGCGTGTGTGCGCCCGTGTGCGTTGCGTGTGTGCGTGTGCGTGCGTGTGCGTGTGTGTGATGACTCAGCAAGATGGCGGCCCGTCTGGAATGGAGCATGAAGAAGACACAGATGTTCCGAATCGCCCACGAAGCCGGGAGCGCTTTGCCTCCCCCACCCGGAGCCACAGCTTGCAGAGCAGCCCCTGCCAGATGCCGGCGCCCGCGCTTCTCAGGCTGCTGCTGTGCCCACGCGATGTCCCAAGCCACGGCCGACGCCGGGTGCCTTCACTTCCCCACGTGTGTCCCTGATAACCTCTGAATTTCTTCTTCACGTGCAAGAATGAATTAAGGCATAATTTTAGAGTGGGCAGGAAACTCAGAGACTGTGTCACCTAATCCCCTCACGTTAAAGCTGGAGAGGACATGACCCAGAGACACAAGGCACGTGTCCCCAAACCACACAACGGATCAATGTCACCATTGATGCTGACATCCAGTCCTCCCGGCCCCATGATTATTTCTGCCACCCCAGGCTGACTCAATTCAGCTGCACAAGATGTAGGCTATATAAAAATCTGTGATAATCTATAGAACGTGCTTTCTCGTGGAAGAAAGGTAGCCTGCCCTTCCCCGCGTGCCATGGAGAAGGCACCTGCCCAGCTCCCAAACTCACACGTAGGAAGGTCTTCAGCACCCAAACCAGCAGAGCCAGCGGCAGGCCAATAAGGAAGGCTGTCCTGCAACAAAAAAAGGACCCTGATGGCTTCAGCTCACTCACTCATCCGCCAAACGTCTGAGTGCCTTTTCCATGCCTAACGTTGTTCTGGTTTGGGGGAATGGAGTGTGGATCGAAAAAGATTACACCAGCTGCCTCCACTATTTAACAATAACAACAGCCGCCAACGGTTTAGAAAATTCACAGTTGGGGGCTGGGCACGGTGGCTCACACCTGTAATCCCAGCACTTTGGGAGGCCGAGGCAATTGGATCACGAGGTCCGGAGATCGAGACCATCCTGGCTAACACAGTGAAACCCTGTCCCTACTAAAAATACAAAACATTAGCCAGGTGTGGTGGTGGGCGCCTGTAGTCCCCAGCCACTCGGGAGGCTGAAGCAGGAGAATGGCGTGAACCCGGGAGGCAGAGCTTGCAGTGAGCCGAGATCGCGCCACTGCACCCCAGCCTGGATGACAGAGTGAGACTCTGTCTCAAAAAAAGAAAAAAAGAAAAAAGAAAATTCACAGTTGCTTCATTCAGAAGTTCCAGGTCATGGTCTGTGAAAATGAACAACAGAGTTAGGAAGCCACAGAGTAGAAAGCAGTGTCAGACTTTATCAAATCCAACCCGTTTTATTTAGAAAAGAAGAAAACAGAAGTGGGTCCCCCCAAATCTGCCTCACTGCCCATCCCAGCTGCAACCCAGGCAGGTGTGGGAAAAACACCATTGTCTCTGTATCCCCACTCCCAGCACTTCCCCGGAAAGCAAGTGGATTTTCTAGAATCTGTGAGTCAGCACATAACACCCTTTGTTTCTGGAGCAGAGCACGGAAGTGGGGAAGGAACGTGGCCTGTTGCCTGCACAAGTGTCACGACAGTGGGCAGGAGATGCACAGCCTGGAAAGCCACAGCCACCTTTGGTGCTCACTCTCTGTAAGGTGTTTTTTTTCATCCTAGGGAAAGGACCCACTTCTCTTTGCCTCAACTGAATCCCTGGGGAAAAGAAAGAGAAATCCACAGAAGCCACTTATGTCTCTTTTTCTTTCAGACTTTCATTGTTTCCTAGCCAACCTTGTCACAGACCTTCAGTGGTGTCCTTATGAAGCTTCCGTTACACGTCCTGATCAGCTCCTTCCTGTACTATGAGACCTATGACTTCAGGGAACTTTCCAGGACTTTACTCCCACACAAATAACGTTTTCTCCTTTTGCTTGTTTCTTTCAATATAACTTTCCTAATCACATCAACCTCAGCAAGACAACCACTCCTCACTGTTCTCGAACTAGAGCACCGTTTAAAACACTCACCTTTGTGGTCCAAAAGTCAGTTACACAAAAGCCTCCCGAGAATCCAAACTCCCCCACCTCTCCGGGAGTCTGTTTCCCATGTGGCAACCCTGGACACTGAACCAAGGCTTGTCCTAACCCCCAGCCTCCACCAAACCATGCCCAACCCTGGACACTGGACCAAGGCTTGTCCTAACACCCGGCATCCACCAAACCATGCCCAACCTGTGGTCCTTGGGGACACTGGAAAATGGACTGCCCTCAATGGGGAACCTTCCTTGTTCAGGTGCGGCTCATGATGAAGCCCCCCGACCATCACAGAAGGAAATCTGGTCACTGCCAGCACTGACCATGGAGGACTGAGCATGCCCAGGATCCTTCGCCCCCATGTCCAGTGAGTCCACGGAACCCAGGGTAACTGGGACGGTGTCTGGTAATAGGCCTTGGTGAGAGATGAACAGTTTTTAACTTCTGGCTTCTTCAAACTTCCTCGGAAAGGAGGAGTGGGAAAGATGTCTTTTTAGGTTGCGTGTTGTCTGTGTGACTTGGCAGAGTCTTAATTGCAATATGCAAGTGTGTTGCAATGAAAAACATACAAAGAGATGCTTTTATTTGCTTAAAATTCTTATCAATAAAACATGTTGGAAATGTTTGCATTTCCATAATTGATCAGCTGGTGCATTAATGTCAAATTAAATAAATGCCTTTTATTGATTTTTTTATAAACTTTAAACAGCAAGCCGGAGCTGATGAGTGATGTTAAAATCCACAAAGTCCTGAGACAGGGTTCAGAGTCACAGGGTTTTATCCATGAAGCACACTGGGGATGTTTCCATTTCCAGAATTGATGAGCTCACTGATGATTCTCAAATTAAATAAAAGCCTTCAAACTGATGCATAAAAAGTCTCCAAAACGTGAACTGCAAAAAGAGTGATTCCAAAATCAGCAGCAGCAGCAGCATGAGCACAGAGCACATGCATGGGACTGTTACAAGGAGTTGCCAAACCCTTCGTATTAGGACAAAAGGGGGCTTCACGGAGCCTCCTTGTTTATTGCGTGGAGTCAGAGCCACTCCGTGCAGTTGCGTGAGCAGCCCAGGACTCCTAACCATGCTGGGAGAGCAGCCCAGAAAACAGCAGCAGGCTGTGTGCGGGGATGCCCACCTGAACCCCAGCTCTGCCACCCCAGCTCTGGGCCTGAATCCAGCCAAAGTTTCTCCCTGGCACAGCGGTGACGGTGACGCCTCCCTCACAAGATTGTTGGGAGGGTTACTTGCAATGGAGCATGCAAACGCCTCCACTGCAAGGGTTTAAACCTATGAAAACCCCACAACAAGACGAAAATAAAACCAGTAAGATGCACACATGCCTACGTATACATAAGGTATATGTGCACATATGCAACTGTCACACTGGTAATACCATGAACGTATAAAGAGTGAGTCCACTTCTGCGGGAAAATATTAATATTGGCCAGACATTGTGACTCACACTGTGGGAGGCTGAGGCGGGTGGATCGTTTGAGCCCAGGAGTTCAAGACCAGCCTGGGCAATATAACAAGGCTCTGTCTCTACTAAAAATACAAAAACTTAGTTGGGCATGGTGGTACCTGTAGTTCCATTGCTGGAGCCTGGGAGGCAGAGGTCTCAGTGAGCTGAGATGACACCACTGCACTCCAGCCTGGGCAACAGAGAGAGACCCTGTCAAGAAAGAAAGAGAGAGAGAAAGAGAGAGAGATAGAGAGAAAGAAAGAGAGGAAGGAAGGAAGGAAGGAAGGAAGGAAGGAAGGAAGGAAGGAAGGAAGGGAGGGAGGGAGGGAGGGAGGGAGGGAAGGAGGGAAGGAAGGAAGGAGAGAGAAGGGAAGGAAGGAAAGGAAGCAAGGAAAGGAAAGAAAGTAAGGAAAGAAAGAAAAGAAAGAAAGGATGAAAGGAAGGAAGGAGGGAAGGAAGGAAAGGAAGGAAGGAAAGGAAGGAAAGAAAGGAAAAAAGAAGGAAGGAAGGAAAGAAGGAAGGAAGGAAGGAAAAAATATTAATATCATAAAGTAGTATGCAAAATTGATACCCAAGGACATTTACTTTAGCATGTTTATGATAAAACGCCAAGAACAACCCAAATGCCCAAGAGTAGAGGAAGCGTCAAGAAATAGACACATATTATTCATAGGAAGGGACACTGTTATACCTCCTGTGAGAGTGTTGTCTCTGGGTACAACTGATAACGCTCACAGCCCTCACACACTGAAGCGGACGGCGTGGAAATCACCCCTGCAATTCTGCACAGGCTCATGTACACACGGAGGAAAGACGCCAAGAACTTCAACTCTTCATATTCACTTTCGAAATGTTTGCTGTTGTGGCTGTTTTGGGTTTTTTTATTTAAGTTTTAAGGTCAGGGGTACATGTGCAGGTTTGTTTCACAGGGAAACTCACACCAAGGGAGTTTGTTGTACAGATTATTTCAGCACCCAGGTATTAAGCCTAGTACCCATTATTTTTTCTGATCCTCTCCCTCCTCCCGCCCTCCACCCTCCATAGGCCCCAGTGTCGGTTGTTCCCCTCTGGAGGTTGGAAGGTGGAAGGAGGTAGAGTAGCAGAAAAAAAATAATTATTGCGTAGCAAGCTTAATACGTGGGTGATGAAATAATCTATACGACAAACTCTTATGACATGATTTTGACTATATAACAAACCTGCACATGTACCCCTGAACTTAAAAGTTAAAAAATTTTCTTTTTTTTTTTTTAGACGGAGTCTTACTCTGTTGCCCAGGCTAGAATGCAATGGTGCTATCTCAGCTCATGGCAACCTCCACCTCCCCAGTTCAAGCGATTCTCCTGCCTCAGTCTCCCGAGTAGCTGGGATTACAGGTGCCCACCACCACCACGTCCAGCTAATTTTTGTATTTGTAGTAGAGACAGGGTTTCACCATATTGGCCAGGCCGTTCTCAAACTCCTGACCTCAGGTGATGTGCCTGCCTCAGCCTCCCAAAGTGCTGGGATTACAGGTGTAAGCCACTGCACCCAGGCAAAAAGTAATCACCTACAGGAAAAAAGTAAGGTAGAAGGACCAAGAATCATGGTGAGCCATATAAAGATAATAATAATAATAGTGTTTCTGTTATTCAAAATAGAATGGTGTTGACCTTACACAAAACAGAGGGAATGCCACATTACAAATCACAACTTCAGTCATTTTGGACCTGTAAAATCATGTTGGCTTTATCATCTCTTATTCATTAAAAGCACTTGTGAGGACTTAACTGTACATTTTATGTACTTAAATGACATTAAAATGTAGATTTAAAAGGATTTACTATCCTCACTTTATGCAAAACTAGTAAAATAAAACTATTTAAGTGGGAAAATAATTACCCCTAATTGCAATATGATACTATTTTTCAATATATTAATTGGGAGATCTTTTTGCATTGATGATTCAAATCGGTTCATTTCTATCTAAATTTTTATTGATTGATTGATTGATTGATTGATTTTGAGATGGAGTCTCACTCTGTTGCCCAGGCTGGAGTGCAGTGGTGCAATCTCAGCTCACTGCAAGCTCTGTGTCCTAGGTTCACGCCATTCTCCTGCCTCAGCCTCCCGAGTAGCTGGGACTACAGGTGCCCGTCACCACGCCTGGCTAATTTTTTTGAATTTTTAGTAGAGACGGGGTTTCACCATATTAGCCAGGATGGTCTCGATCTCCTGACCTCATGATCAGCCCGCCTCAGCCTCCCAAAGTGCTGGGATTACAGGCAAGAGCCACCATGCCCAGCCCATTTCTAACTGAATTTTAAAGGGCTCCTAATATCATTACCTGATCTTTTTATTTAAAATGTTTAAACAACTTGCTGCTTCTCTAGCATCTAGAATCTAAACTATCACATAGAACAGAGATAGTCACAGATTCAGGGTATATGGCATGATAAAATCTGCATTTTTTAGAGAATTAGGTCATTCCACAGCTAAGTCAGTAGCCTGAGTCCCTGTCCTTCATCCTCTGGGGTCCCTTCCCTGCCGGGCGCAGGGGTCTAGTGTCAGGTCCTCACTCAGTGGGACCTTTCTCAGCATCTCAGACAGAAGGACTGTCTGGAATTACAGGGCACAAACAATTGTCTGTCTTGCTAGGAAGTCTCATCTGTTCTTATGAAAGCTGTCCAATTAGTCTTTAGTTGAATCGTAACTGGATTTATAACCTTTTCCATCTATTGCCATTTGGGAGTGGATATCTTCACCAAGTGATTTTTTTCCCTCTCTATTTAATACCGAGGTTACTTACTGGATAAGCAAAGGAGATATTATTGATGAAATGCTCTCATAGTACATCAGCTTGAGTCTGTCAGCTCAATCAATAATTTATGCCCGAGGGCCAAATAAAAAGAGAGAAATTTTCAAGTTTTTATCGACTATCAAACTCCAGACTGTCAGCTTCTCTTGATATAAATCTATTTTAATTTCTGTTTCTTCTGAGTCTCTTAGCTTCCCAACTACTGTACTTAAAGTAAAAAGGGGCTATAAGAGGGCATATTGGTGAAATACAGTGTAAATAATTCAAAAACATAAAAGTCATGGGCCTCAGGTAGGAAACACACCCACCATACTTTCTGCTCAGCCGATGACCTCCTGTTCATCCGTTGTCACTAGCAAAAAGCATATTTATGCTCTAGTTGACCAAGGGAAGTCAGTGAAGTCTTTGACGTAGGAACAGAGAATACGTGTGGCTGCTCTGAACCAGATCTGTGGTGTCTACCTTATGCTACTCTCGAGTTAACCAAGCAGGATAAATACCTGCTTTCAGGACACATGGGTGCATCAGGATTACTTAATGCATACTTGACTACAGAAAACAGAAATAGGGGCCAGGTGTGGTGGCTCATGCCTGTAATCCCAGCACTTTGGGAGGCCAAGGTGGGCGGATCACTTGAAGTTGGGAGTTCGAGACCAGCCTGGCCAACATGGTGAAACTCTGTCTCTACTAAAAATACAAAACATTAGCCGGGCGTGGTGGCAGGCACCTGTAGTCCCAGCTACTTGGGAGGCTGAGGTCGGAGAATCACTTGAACCTGGGAGGTGGAGACTGCAGTGAGATGAGATTGCACCACTGCACTCCAGCCCTGGAGACAGAGCAAGACTCTGTCTCAAAGAAAAGAAAAAAGAAAAAAAAAGGAAAAAAAAAAGTAAAGAAAAGAAAAGAAGAAAAGAAAAAGAGAAAAAGAAAAGAAAAGAAGAAAAGAAAATAAAAAAAGAAAAGAAAAAAAAAAAGAAAAGAGGAATCAGTCAATAGTCCATGAACAGGATGAACACACCCACGTTGTGCTGTCTTCAGTGACAGGAAATCTCGGAAGGAGAGTTGATCTTTGCTATTCATGGTGGCTGTGCTGAGTAAGTGACTCCCTGAGTAAACTGAGAAAGTACTGATCAAACCCAACCCTTTCAAGGTAGACAAAACATGACACCCTTCAAAGTCAGAGATAGTCACCAGACGCCATATAATGTACGTGCGTCCATTCAGTCAGCACAGTTAGTACTTGCCAAGTTCCAGGGACTCTACAGAGCCTCTATGAACAGAAGCAAACAATGTCTCCCCACTCTCGGGGATCTTTCAGTCTAATGAGAATTTGATGTAAAGTAAAACTTCAAATAGGGATTTGAAATGGTTCTCAATTTAAGGTGTGATATAATAATTTTCATTCACAACGCAAGGGCTTTTGTGAGAAATATAGACAATATTGTCTGGGAATTTTGTTTTCTACTAAGAATAGCTGGTCGTCCAGCAGCTCACGCCCACAGGTGGGGGGTACAAAATTCAGTCTCGAATTATCCATGATCTCCAGGAAAATTTTCCACAATTCTTTGACTTTGCTCAGGCTCTCATCCTAGACAGCAATTCTCCCTCCAATTCAACTTCCCACCCATTTGGAGGCTGAGCCACCCTGGACCCCTCTTCCAGGAGGCCCTCCGGGGTGTCTTGGAGGGATGCACTTCTCCCCTCTCCACATCTGTGCCAGGCTCTGTCACAGTCAGCTGTGCACACACGGGAAGCCACTGTGCTCACTGGTGACACGGATGCACTGCCTTCCTCAGTGGCTGGGATGGGGCTTGTTCATGGGCCTAGGCCCCAGCAAACAAAACAATAGCTGGCTCGAGTCCATGCTTCATGGATGTTTTTAAAGGAATTAAATGGTGATGACATTTAAAGCAGGGGTCCTGAACCCCCGGGCCATGGCCTGCTAGGAACCCAGACACACAGCAGGAGGTGAGTGGCAGTCCAGCAAGTGAGCCAGCGAAGCTTCATCTGTATTTACAGCTGCTCCCCACTGCTCACAGGACCGCCTGAGCTCCGCCTCCTGTCACATCAGTGGCTGCATTAGATTCTCCTCGGAGCTCGAACCCTGTTGTGAACTGTGCGTGCAAGGGATCTGGATGGTACGCTCCTTATGAGAATCTAACTAATGCCTGATGACCTGCGCTGTCTCCCATCAGCCTGAGATGGGACCCTCTAGATGAAGGAAAGCAGGCTCCGGCGCCCACTGATTCCACAGGATGGTGAGTTGTGTAATTAGTTCACTCCGGGCGCCCACTGATTCCACAGGATGGTGAGTGGTGTAATTAGTTCATTATCTGTTACAATGTAATAATAATAGAAATAAA